TTTTTTTTTTTTTTTTTTTTTTTTTTTTTTTGCCACACACAGACAATTCAATAATACTATAAACTGAAACAGAATACCAACATCAAAGATCGACCAACATATGTCACATGCTCACAGAGAAGGGTGATCAAACAAGAAGGTAAGGTCAAAGAAATAAATAAAGATGCATCACTAGACAAGTTCCATCAACTTTGGAGATTTGTCTCATTTATAAGGGAGACTCGAACCTATTACGATTTTACAACAACAAAAGAGCTGAAAATACATACAAGCACCAAGGTAAAACATTAGATTCAATAAATAAAGGGTTTGATACATTTCTAAACATAATTTTGATCAAATCAAATTGAATTGAATACTACGTAGACGCTTATACCAAAACACAGAGATTTGCAATCAATATAAGTTATAGTCCATTAACTCAGAGATGCTAATACCATGAACAAATTCAGTAGAGGGTGTAATACATTAATACCTAGCACCAAAGTTAATAGGTTGGCATAGAGACATGGATACCAAAAACATTGAGATTTTCATCTAATCAGAGGCCTAAAGGAATACATTATAAACATGGTAAGAACAATGTTTAAAGCTCAAATATACAAATTATATAATCTAACATAGCAATCACCTGGTTGGCCAAGGATGCAACATGCGTGATGAAAGATGATGTATGATTTTGACAATAGAAATACCATCAACTTTGTAAGAAACAAAGAAACATACGCTAATAACAGACAAAACATATTTGCAATCAATAGAGATATACTACTTTTTCCAGCAGTATAAAATAAAGCACAAGGTCTAAAACTCAGGTCCTTAAGTAAACCAATTTATATAATCTAACATAGCAAACACATGGTTGATCAACGATGCAAGATGCATGATAATGTATGATGCAAGATGCATGATGATGTATAATGCAAGATGACAGAGAGTTGCTCAGAACCACACTGAAGTTTAGCCTGAGAAGAAACCTCCTATGAGTACCTGCAAACCTGAGAAGCTTTCAAACAAAATTAGTCTTTACTTCAAGTAAACGTCTCAAACTTAAATGAATATTCAATGTAGTCATTACCATAAAGAAGTTTAGGAAACCACATACCAGTGAATGTAACAGAGATTTGTTACAGTTGTAATTAGATCATTGTCATTGTCCCATCGTAAAGTAACTGTTTCTGAATCTTATCCTCTGTTTAAATACTAAGTTAAAGCCGAAGGTTCTGTTTTTTCTATCAACTAACAGCAGATCATTGTCTTTGTCCAAATATCAACGAGCCAAAACCAATCCATAGTCTTGTCCAAATAAGCTGTGGGTGCGTCCGTGCGTAAAGGATCCGTTTACAAATATCTTAGCTTCTGTCTAAAGACATATTCTGTTTTACTTCCAACAGATCATGGCCTTTGTCCAAATACATGACTCTGTTTAAGCAGTGTGTTATAGCAGAATGTGGTATATTAGCTCTATCTGAAAACACTTTGAGCTGTGGGTGTTAGAACATATTGTTTTTACCGTATATCTTAGCTTATGTCTAGAAGAGACTAAGTTTCAAGCCACATGTTCCAACATAAAGACCTGTCTCTGTTTAAGCAGTGGGTAACATATTAATATTAGCCTCTGTTTGAAGATATTATAAGCCGTGGGTTATAAGAGATTGTGTTTTTTGTATCTCAGTTTTTGTTTCCAAGGAGTTCATTTAAGCCGTGGGTACAGTATCCTTTTCGATGAATCAAATTTTGACACATAGTCTTGTCTACAGACTTCATATAAGCCGTGGGTACAATTTAATTTTGGTTTGAATCAAAACCTGATGCATATGGTGTCTTGTATTAAGACAACATGTAGAGACTCTTTAACTTAATCCATGGGTACATTTATTATCCTCCAACTAACCAACAAAAACAAATCCTGTCTTGGTCTAAGATTTAGCTGCAGATTCTGTTGTAGTTCCGGACAGATCATTGTCTTTTGTCCAAAGATATCATCGGACAAAGACTGTGAACTGTGTCTGTTAAGCCATGGATTCTATTTTCCTCTCAATGAGCCAAAACAAGTTCATAGTCTTTTCCAAAGACCTTATTTATGCCACATGTTGAATCTTAGCCTCTCTTTAAAGATTAACTTTAAAGCCGCAGGTTTTGTTTTATGTCCAACTTACAAAACACAGTTCACTGTCTTTGTCAGAAGACCTCATTTTAAGCCGTGGGTGTGAAAAGGAACCGTTTATGAATCTTAGACTCTGTCTAGAGACCCAGTTTTTAGTTGCATGTTTTGTTTTACTTCCAACAGATCATGGCCTTTGTCCAAATACCTGACTTTGTTTATCTTAGAAGATTGGTATCTTAGCCTCTATTTGAAGACATTTAAGCCATGGGTGTTATAACAAATTGTTTTTTTTTTTGTGTCAAAGTCTGTCTAAAGACATCATTAAGCCGTGGGTGCAGTGTCCTCTAAACTTGACACATAGTCTTTGTCTTTGGACTTCATGTAAGCCGTGAGTACAGTTTAGTTTTCCATTTTGAATCAAAATCTGATGATGCCTAGTCTTGTACTGAGACATCATTATAAGTTCGTGGGACTTTAACTTAAGCTGTGGGTAAGATCCAGTATTTCTCTAAAGGCCAAGCCATTGATGTCTCAATGAATCAAAACGCAACACATTGTCTTTGTCTTAAGACTATACTCAAACCGTGGGTACAACTGATTACTCAAACAGATCACTTGTGGTAAAGGATCAGTTTTTAGAGTCTTAGCCTCTGTCTAAAGACTAAATTTAAAGCCGTGGGTACATTTCAATGAATCCAAATATCCAACCAGTCTTTGTCTGAAGCTGTAGGTACAGTTATCCCTTAAACCAACCAACAAAAACAGATCCAGTTTTTGTCTATAGACTTTATTTTAAGCCGTGGGTCATAAAAGTATCAGTTTTTAGAGTTTTTAGCCTCTCTCTAAAGACAAAACTCAAGCCGTGGGTACAATGTTCCTTCCAACCAACCAAAACAGATCCATGTACACAAGTCATAAAGGATCAGTTTTTAGAGTTTTAGTTTATGTCTAACGACTAAACTCAAAGCCGTGGGTATTCCTTCCAACCAACCAAAACAGATCCATAATACTTGTCATAAAGGATCAGTTTTTTTTTTTTTTAGAGTTTTAGCCTCTGTCTAAAGAGGAAACTTAAAGCCATGGGTTCCTTCCAACCAACCAAAACCGATCCAACAACCAATCAATATCCAATCAGAAACAGTCTTTGTCTAAAGACATCATTATAAGCCATGGGTACAGTTATCCTTACAGCCAACCAACAAAAACAGATCAAGTCTTTGTCTAAAGACTTTTTTTTAAGCCGTGGGTCATAAAAGGATCCATTTTTTTAGAGTTTTAGCCTTTGTCTTAAGACGAAACTCAAAGCCGTGGGTACAGTGTTTTCCTTCCAACCAACCAAAACAGATCCAACAACCAATTAAAATCCGACATACTCTGGATCAGAACAGTCTTTGTCTAAAGACTTCATTTATAAGCCGTAGGTACCTTTCAATGAATCCAAATTCTGAGCAGTCTTTGTCTAAAGACAAAGACATCATTATCAGCCGTGGGTACAGTTACTCCTTCAAGCCAACAACCAAAAAAAATAGATCAAGTCTTTGTCTAAAGACTTTCTTAGTATCCGGTTTTTAGTTTAAGTCTCTGTCTAAAGACTATATTAAAAGCCGTGGGTAACAAAACAGATCCATAGTAATAAAGGATCAATGTTTAATATAAGCCGTGGGTCATCATATATTCCACATCATCACCCTAGCATTAGCCATGCACCACCAAACCAATACCGATCCAATTCATATGCTAGGGCGATGATTATTGGAATAACAATTCTTATGTACCCAAGAAAGAATCGGACAGAACACTATTAGTTAAGTGTTTGCCAATGAATCTCTCTCTCTTTGGGATTAAAAACAAAAACAAAAACAAAAAAAACAAAAATCTTGAAACCCTAGACAGCATCAATGTCAAAAGTAGAGCTAGGAACCATTATTAGTAAACATTAAATAATTGAGAAGAAGAAGAAGAGAGTTACCGAACTTATTGCAGAAAAACGCAGGCGGATTACAGAAGATTCACGCGGAATCATCAAAGACACCAAGCGGCTCGTGAGTCGTGAGAAACCCTAAAAGGAAAACAAAATCGATATACAAGTTATGAATGTGTTCAAAGCAAAAAAAAAAAAAAGATTGTATATTTATAGTGTTAATCATGCGTTTTTCTTCTAACGGCTAAATTTTAAAATAAATGGGCTAATTATTTATTCTAGGCCCAATTCTGAAGAACGTTCTTCTCTTTTGGGTAGTTTGAAAGTAAAACAATTAAGTTGTTAAACACGTATAAGCAAACTGGCCTATTAGCTCAGTTGGTTAGAGCGTCGTGCTAATAACGCGAAGGTCACAGGTTCGATCCCTGTATAGGCCACTTTTTTTTTTTTCGGGTGGCTCCAGCATTAATCAATTTGATAGAGGCCTCTCACCTCTTCGATTTCTAAACCAGGCACATGCTTAGTTTATTAATCAACATCGTCTTAATGAACTATCTTTTTATGGCCCACTGGGCCTATTATTAGATATATATGTATATTGTTATATTTATCAGACCAGACCAGAAAATTAGAAATCAGACCAATTTAAACCAAGTGTCTCTCCCTGTTCTACACTTCTTCTCCCTTTAATGCCATTTGCAATGTCTTGGGGGTAAATTGGATTCACCACTATTTGCTCTTCAGCTTTTAGAAAACCTCTAACCCTTTCCCAAGTTTGAGTCTTTTCATTACCAAGGTAAGTGCCGAACTTAACTAACATCTGTCTGCTTCCACTGATATCACTATTCTCATGTCTGAGCTTGCTTTATGAACTGGGTTTCCTTTTTCTTACTTATCTGGGAAGAAAAGGTTTAAACTTGGTTCTTTTATGAGCTTGGTTTACTTGTTAGGGAAGAAAGGTTAAAACTTTATGTTTGGTTAATTGATGTAGAGAGAAGATGGATCTTGTCAGCAATTTACCAGAAGAGATTCTTTGTCATATCTTATCTTTCATGACCACAAAGGAAGCTGCTTTGACATCTGTTCTTTCAAAGAGGTGGCTTAGGTTATGGACACTTGTACCTAATCTCGACGTTGATGACTCTGTCTTCCTCCATCCTGAAGAGGGTAAGAGAGAAAAGGAAGGGATTCTACAAACCTTCATGGGTTTTGTGGATAGAGTATTGTCTTTACAAGGAGATTCTCCCATCAAGAAGTTCTCTCTAAAGTGTGGAACCGGTATTGATCGAGACCGTGTGAGTCTCTGGATACGTAATGTCCTGAAGCGTGGTGTTTCGGATCTTGACCTTGTCTTGGACTTTCCTAGATGTGGTTCTGATGATTTAGATTATAAATTGCCTTGGGAGATGTTCGAGAGCAAGACACTAGTTAATGTGAAGTTAAGAAGTGAGACTGGTATTGAATGGTGGAGGGATTATGGTGCCTTCTTACCAATGCTTAAAAGCCTCAGGATTGAGTCGGATATGTTGGGTTTACTACCTGATGAGCTTGTGCCGTTTCTTTCTGCTTTCCCTGTGCTTGAGGAGCTATACTTGGCTACTGCTGAGTGGTTTGATACTGATGAAACCGTGTTAAGTGCAAACCTCAGGAAGCTAACTATATGTGCTAACGGTTTTGAAGATATTGATGATCCAATGAGCTTTTCTTTTGATACTCCAAATCTGGTTTACCTTGATTACTCTGATTACCTTGCGGCGGATTATCCGATAGTTAACTTGAGTAATCTAGTTGAGGCTCACCTCAACCTTTTAGTAACAGAAGCTCAGGTCCAACTAATACGAGCGCCAGATGGTGAAGATGTTCAGCGTTTCAGAAATGTGTTGAAGCTCATGAGTGGGATGAGAAATGTTCAGAAACTTTACTTAACTGCATATACTCTCGATGTCAGTTGCTCTTCTGTATCTTTTGTACTATCTTCTTACGACCAGTCTGAGGTCATCTTTGGGTTCTTAGTCTCATTTTTTATTTAGTGAATCAATCTTTGAGACTAAGCATGGGTGTTTCGGGTCCAGTTCGGTTCTTTTGGTTATTGTTTTTTATTAATTCTAGAGATATAGGAACCGTTCGTTATTTATAAAATTTGATTCGGTTTCGATTGGGTTCTTTCGGTTTTCAGTTCGGTCCGGCTAATGTTATATAAATTGTATTGTATATATTCGGGTATTCATTGGTTTTCGGTTCAGTTTTGGTTTTTGGTTTCATAAATATAGGAACCTCTCAGTTATTTATGAACCTCTCAGTCTTTTTGGTTCTCGGTTTATAGGCGGAGGCCTACTTGAGATAGTGAAACAGTGTTTTGTCTTTGTTTCAGGTGCTTTCTCTAAGCTGTGACTCGATGCCTTTGTTCAACAACCTCAAATTTTTACACATCAAGAGTCACAAAAAAAGGGGATGGAAAGCAGTGCCGGCTCTCTTACGAAACTGTCCACATTTAGAAACCATAGTGCTTGAGGTGTAACACACAACTCATTTGCCTAACATTTACAAAGACACTGTTCATATTTACATTATAACATTCTTGTTCTCTCGGTTTTGCTTTCAGGGTCTGATACACTACGTGACAGATGATTGTGGGGATGCTTGTGACTGCATTTCTCGGGAGGACAAAGGTCGTTCGCTCGTATCTTGTCCAGTGAAGAAGATAGAGATTCATGGTTTCAAAATGACAGTACCAGAGATGAAAACGATTAGGCATTTGTTGGAGTCTTTGCCGTGTTTGAAGGAGATGAAGATATATGCTCAAGAGAATGATACTACAGAAGTCCCTGGAATGTATGATCTAATTGACAAGGCTATGAAATACTATAGTCATTTATTTAAGTGTGATGTTAGCTTCCTAAGGCCAGCTTCCTTGTAAGAAAGTGGACTGTACAACAAAACTTAGCTCATAGTTTGGTCAAACTCTGATTCTGTTTCTTGTTTAGAAAAACTTTGTTCTGTTTTTCAAACCGAACCGAAATGGATTGTCTGTTACGTTTTGTTGTTGTTTGCGTTTTTTTTACTTCATTGAGCAGACAATTTTCTAAGCAAAGACTCACAGACAAGAATCTCCACATTGCAGCTCAATGACTTGTAATAGAGTTCCAACATCTTTAACTTATAATCAGCACAAGAGAGTCTTCAGCATTGGTAAGTAAATGTATAGGCCAAGGTTGGAAACACAACGGGCCATAGAGAGAGAGAGAACGATTTATCTATATCTCTAGCCAAATTAAAACTTTTATTAATCACTAAAAATGTCTTACGAGGTTTTATTACATTAGTGACCATAAAGAGAGAGAGAGATTATGACCCAAGAAGCTTCTTCCACCTGGCGTAACCAAGAACAACCATGAAAAGCACAAAGCAAAACGCAGTGATACTCCACACGAAGTACCAGAAGATGCCGTTAATGTTATACAACGGACACGGTATGTTCATCCCGAACAAGCTGGCCAACAACGTCTCTGCGCTTATCGCAAACGAGGCCATGGTCAGAATCAGCTGCAGCTGGATCAGCTGGTTACGTTGATTGTCAAGCTGTATGTTCACGTAGTCTTCCGTGTCGTCGATGTATTCCCTCACGGTAAGAATCTTGTTTCTCATCCCCTCTAGTTGCATGAAGTATGCTTCCAGCAACATCTCAAGATCCTCCACATCGTCTTCATCCATGTTGCTTGTCATCATGCTCGCGCTTCTGTTTGATGTGAGACGGTGGAGATTTGATGTGTTGTGTGGTGGGAGAACAGATACTGTCCCTTCAAGCATTGCTTCAGCTTGCTGGTTCTGGTTCCATTTCCTTGTTAGGTATAAGTCTGACATGTCTTCATTGTCATCTAACAGATGTTCGAGTTCATCTCTCACCTGAACAATGTACACAACCAAGCGTCATGTTTCAACATTATAATAAATATTATGATAAAATGCTAAGGAGATTACCTTTTGGACACGGGCTAGCAAGCGAGTGAGATTACTCTTCAAGCTTCGAACATATTCAAGATTCTCAGTACTGACATTCTTGGTAAGTTCATCAAGAACAGGCCAAGCATCTGTCTCAAGTGATGCCACACTGCTATCAACGATAGAGCAGACAGCCTCAAGAGCCATCTCAAGGACCTGAAACTCAAAAGGAAGCTCATTCTGCAGCCCTTCTCCAGCTTCTGGATCAAGTAAAGCCTGCACATTTGGAGTAGCTTCAAGTGCATTATTCCTCTGAGGAAACTGTTGCTTAAGCCGGTCGATGAATGGTAGAACTTCAGGACGGAGTGGATCCAAGATAAGCACTTCTTCTGCTGTAACTATCGCCTTTATAACCTCTAAGTTAACAACAATAGCCTTCTCCCTCGCTACACAGTAAACACACAAAGCTAAAGCAACTAAAATAGAAACATATATAATAGCCAAACAAACAATGATCATGGACATATAGCGAGATGTAACATTCGTCTCGGCCTCCAAATTTAATCATCCAGACTTCAAATTGATTAAGAAATGTATATCCATTTAGTTTCCATTCTGTAATTGATTAAAACTCCCACAAATCTCAAACCAGCCCTAACAATGATTAATGCATACTGATTCATTACATTCTAAAAACAGTCCTAGCCTCAGCAAATCGGTTATAAACGAAACGATTTTTCTAGCTACACAGTAAACACACAAAGCTAAAGCAGAAGCATATATAATAGCAAAACAAACAATGATCATGCACATACATCTAGATGAAACATTCATCTTACCCTCCAAATCTAAAAAGTTACTACTTATATATCATTCAGACTTCAAATTGGTTAACAAAAAAATACATGTACTGATCATTTAGTTTCCATTGCCCTAACAATGATTAATGCATACTGATTCGTAATATTCTAAAAACAGGTGTCTATACGCGCTCTCAACCAAATCGGTTGTAAACAGTGTTCTAAAGATCAGTGTTGGCGACGGCTAGGTATCAGTCTAATCAGTTAGATTAGACCTAAACGAAACTATTTATTGTAGACCGATCAATCTAATCAGTCTAATCAATCGCTCAAAATATCGACCTAGGTGTCCGCCTAATCAATAATCACATAAAAAAAATGCTTAACAGCCGCCTAGCCATTTCTTGAACATTGTTTTTTTTCTAAAAACTGATCTAGTCAGTGTTTAGGCGCTAATAGGTCTACACGTGTCAGTGTTCTAAAAATCGGTCTAGGCGGGGCAAATCAAGTCTAAACGAGTGTAGGTCTACACGTGTCACAGTGTTCTAAAAATCGGTCTACGCGCGGCAAATCAAGTCTAAACAAAAAAATTTTTTCCAGATGAAAGTTCAAAAAATTCGGTTTAGTCGTCCTCCTAAACAATAATCCTCTATAAAACGCCTAACTCCGATTCTTCAACATTGTGTGATTTCGAATTGTATACCGAGAATATTGGAAGAGTGAGAGAACACAGGTCCAAGAATCCTCAAATCCCTAGCTGGAACCGAAGATCGTTTAATAATCGTGCTCTTATCGCATTCCACCACTTCCATCGCGCCAGTCCGATCAAACCTCATCCACATCCTCGCTCCTCCCGCTTTCTTCTTCACCTTCCCACCCGCCGCGACCGATCCCCCCGCGTTGATCGGCGAAGGAGGAGGCGGAGACGACGAAGGATTGGACGAGTGGTTAGGATCATCCTTCACCGATGAGCCTTTCTTCCGGCGACGGATGCTCGAGAGTCGGCGGAACGATAAGGGACCTTTCCCCATCGCAATCAGAGATTCGTTACGATCTCTGCCGCTTCTTCCTCGATTTCGCGTTTCTTAAGAGATCGTTTGTTTGCCATAAACGCGCTTAGTGAGGAGGAATCGAATTGTTATAAATAAAAACTTTTTGGGGCGAGATCGGGAAAAGGAAAAGTTTCGAGGCGTTTTTACATGTGTGACGTGGCACACTCTAACCGTAAAAAGAAAAAGTTAAAAAACTTGGTTGGGTTCAGATTAATTTGTTTCTTTTTATTCGGTCAACGGATCGGTTTTGGTAAGGTTATAAATAATCTTGATCTGAGTTGGTTTAGAGTAACCTTATCCATGAGAACTCTTAAAAGTATCTCAAACTTTTACCCAAACCTGAACCCGATAAAAAAAACCCGAACCGAAACCGAACCGAAGTAGTAAAATATCCGAAAGGATATTAAATTATGAAAGATTGGATATCCGAACCTGAACGGATAATATCCGAACCCGAAGGGATATCCGAATATAACCGAAGATATGTATATTTAGCCTTATATTTCTAGTTTACTTCTCTTATTTTACCCAAAATATTTATATTGATGTTGTACATCGGTTTGTTTTAGATTAATTTGTTTCTCTTTTTATTCGGTCAACGGATCGGTTTTGGTAAGGTTATAAATAATCTTGGTCTGAGTTGGTTTAGAGTAACCTTATCCATAAGTATCTCAAAGAAAAAGAATATTGTTATCTTAATGAAATGTAAAGTTACAAAATAAAGTTATTTGTGAAAGCAAATCTTCGAGCCGATTCACGTGCCACACTCAAACCAGTTGGTTTCGGATTAATTTGGTCGCGAATCGATTTTGGTTAGCTTTTTAATTATATTGGTCTGAAACGGTTTAGTTTGGACACACTGGCCACTGATTAGGGGTGGGCACGGATCGAATATTCGGGTTTTCGAAGGTATTTGTGATTTGCTTCGTATGTTACGGATATCTGATTTTGGTATTTGCTTTGCTTCGGAAAAATACGGATATCCAGAAAATAAACAGATATTTGCGGATATTTACGAATATCTCATCTGTTACAAATAATCTTATATAAATTTATTTTGTAAAATTTTTTTACATGATATATAAAATAAAAAATAAAGAAGTAGTGAATTTACATATTTTATAATTTTTTTTGTTTAAGTTAACAACTATAATAACACAAAACTTAAGATTTTTTTTTTTATAATTTTCATAATTTTTCTCTTCTTTTTATCTAATAATTTTATATAAGTAATAATGTGAATGTAATTAGACAAATCATAAACTATAATAATAGTTTTATACATTTAAAATTTTAAATATAATCAGAATATACATATATTTATATATTTCCGGATCGGATCGGATATCCGCTTCTCAAAATTTTAATATTTGTGATTTGCTTCGATTTTTACGAATATTGATTTTTAGTATTTGCTTCGATTCGAAAGTTTACGGATATCCGGAATTTTCGGATCGAATCGAGACGAATAACGAATCGAATCAAATTTAACGAATAAAATGCCCAGCCCTACCACTGATCACATTTACAACGTATTGGTCTTTGGGTTTTCATTCGGTTCAGGTTTTTGGTTATTCATTGTTTTTTTTTGTGTAACAAATCTTTTGGAGTTTTATTATATATCGAGTACATGATTTAGACTTGGATCAGGTGATATCAGTTCAGTTACTAGGGCTGGGCAAATAAACCGAACCCGAAAACTCAAACCGAACCCGATCCGATAAAAATGAATCCGAACCGATCCGAACCCGATTTAAATACCGAATGGATCTTGTTTTATGGTATTTCGGGTTATGGGTATTATCCGAACCGAACCCGAAATTAAATGGATATCCGATAGAACCCGAAACATTCAAATTTTTTAATAAGAACATGTACTGAACATGATCTTAATTCCTAATATAAATCCAAAATATTTTAAGATATTACTAAACATATAAATAATTATCTATTACATGAAGGTTGATGGTTGAAGGTGGCGGTTGAAACTTGAAATTTTTAGATTAATGTTTTGTTATTACTGAATAATGTTTCTCATTTTTTAAGAACTTGATTTTCGTTTACGCTTTCATTTATTTGGTTTTCTTTCTATTAATAACTATGTTTACCTTTTAGTTGATTTTGAATGATTAAGTTTTATGTTTCTTTCTTATTTTCGAATCAATTTTACTTATGTTTTGGTTACAAAATAGTTACACATTAGGTATTTTAAATCCGAAGAACCGATTTTACTTATGTTTTGGTTAAAAAGTAGGTACAAATCAAGTATTTTTAAACCAAAGAACCGATTGGGACCCGAATCCGAAAGTATAACGGATTGTACCGGTTCTTTAAAGATTTACTAACCCCGACCCGAATCCGATAGAACCCGAACCGATCCCGAACCGAACTTTCAAATAATCCGAATGGGGCTGATTTTGATAAACCCGAAGAACCGAGACCCGATTGGACAAAACCGAAACCCGAATGGGATCCCGAATGCCCATGCCTATCAGTTACCATTCGGATTTGAATTTTTGGATTGTTCCAGATATTTTCAATTTTTTCGGATTACTTCAAAATCTTTTTACATGTATAAAAATCAAATATTTTACCCAAGAAGATTATAAACTACTACAAAATCACTCATAAAATTTAATAGACATTATATAAACTTAAACAATGTATACCCGGCTACTAAAGTCAAATATTTGAAGTACTTATATGTGTTTTGAATATCATACTAATTTGAATCTATGTATTTATTTTCACTTTTGATTTTCTGGATTCTTATAGTTTAGGATTTTTACTAGTTTTCAAATTTTCAGTTTTTATTTGAGATATTCGGTTTGGATTATACACAATATAAAAAATACTGCATTACATAATCTTTTCAGATATTTTTACAGATTCATAGATTCAGTTAGAGAAGCTGTGGACAAAGAGTTACACTGTGTATGAATGATTAGATTCTTAAGACAAATGTTCATCACATTATTCATGTTCAACGAACATATAACACATCCCTCAACCTACATTAAGCTTAAGCAATAGTATATCATTGAAAACATTAGAATAAAAATGAAGGAAATATTCAGCAAGAAATAAAAGATGAAACAGAACATATATAGGTTTTGCGATAGGTTTGGTTTGAAAAGAAACAAAATAATAACAGACAGTGATTTTAGAAAAACAATAAGGCAATTTGTGCTCTGCAGAGGCTTCCTTCTTCTTAAACAAGTAGTCACTCACTCACTCGCCGGAGTTGGACATGGCAGCTTGATAACTTGTCGTACTCCTCTATCAGAAACATAACTCCAAGCTCTATAGGTTCATCCTTTTCAACAAAGATATCCATCTCCTTCAGACCCGGAAAATGCACCAAGAAATGCTTTATCATCCCCATCTCTTTACTTGTTCCTAGAAACCCTTTAATCTCCAACATTTTCACAGGACAAGATGCGAGCGAGACACCCTTGTCTTCCCGAATAATGCAGTCACAAGCATCCCCGCATTTGTCTGTCTCATGGTGCAAGAGTCCCTAGAACGTACCACGGGAAAGAAAAAAATAATAATAATAAGGGATTCAAAGTATGAAAACGCTAATTTTTTAACTTCATCTTTGTTAACTGAGTTGAGTTTACACCTGGAGGACTATGGTTTCCAAATGTGGACAGTTTCGTAAGAGAACCGGCATTGCTTGCCATCCACGTTCGTTACGGCTTGTGATGTGTAAACATTTTAGGTTATTGAACACAGGCATCGAGTCACAACTTAGAGAAATCACCTTGAAAAAAAAGACCAAAAAAGCGAAAACTTACATTACACACTTGTTTCAATATCTGAAGGATTTTAAAACGTAATATAACCTTTTATTGTAAAAAAAGATACAAAAGAGCAACTCTGACCTCAAGAGTATCTGAAGAAAGGGAAAGTTTCTGAGCATTTCTCATGCCACTCATGAGCTTTGAAACATTTCTGAAACGCTGAATAAAACCATCATCTTCTTCACCATTTTGCGCTCTTATTAAACCAATCTGTGCTTCATTTACCATAAGGTTGAGGCGAGCCTCAACTAAATTCGTCAAGTTAATTTTAGGATAGTCCGCGGCAACATAATCAGAATATTCAAGGTAAACCAGATTTGGAGTATCAAAATAAATGCTCTTTCTATTACTCAAGTTAAAAAAACCTTTGGCAAAGATGGTTAGCTTCCTGAGGCTTGCACTTGACACGGTCTCATCCGAATATAACCACCACTGCATAGTAGCCAAGCGTAGTTCTTCAAGCATAGGGAAAGAAGAAACAAAGACCTCAAAACGATCAGATAAAAAAACCAAATTCACGGAGTCAATGTTGAGAGTTTTAAGCATTGGTAACTCTCTGCTTGATTTCACATTGACTAGTGTCTTACTCTGAATTACCGTCTTCCAATCCATGAGTTCAAATATATTATAATCGAGGACAAGGTCAATATCCGAAACACCACGCTGCAGGACATTACGTATCCACAGATTCACACGTTCTGCATGAACATCGGGTTTACACTTGAGGGAGAACTTCTTGATGGGAGAATCATCATGTAAAGCCAATACTCTGTCTACAAAATCCATGAAGCTCTGAAGATTCCCTTCCCTTTCTCGCTTGTCCTCTTCAGGATTGAAAAAGACAGAGTCATTAAAGTCGAGATTATGTACACCTTTCCACAAGCTGTGCCACCTCTTTGAAAGAACCGATGTCGAAACAGCCTCCTTCGTGGATAGGAAAGACAAGATATAACAAAGAATCTCTTCCGGTAGACTGTTGATCAGATCCATAGATTCAAGGATAAAGTTTTAACCAAAGCAAGTTATATTTATATCATTCGAAGCAGAGGTAGATGTGATTTACCTTCCACACCTACCTTGTCTTGTATGGGAAATACTAGTTGTGGAAGACCCAAACTTAATACATAAGGATTGTCCAAGATTAGAGATGTTAAAAACAATATACAATATTTCAACATCTTCTTTTTCTCTTTTTTTTTTTTTTTTTACATTTCACACTATTTTCTTTTTTTTTTTTGCATTTAATTTATTCAACAA